AATTCGTGGATATTGACTGAAATAGCAAAGTTTCAGGTATGAAGACATCAGCAACAATAAAACATGGCCTTGAAGAAATGTATGTAACTAATTAGAGCTGGATACTATTGGAAAGGAAGACTCAACTGGAAAATTGAAGAATGCTTCCCAACCTGTAATATATGTAATCCGTTATAATTCCCTAAAGTTTGAAATATTTTCCTACAGCTGTGTAAAATATTGGTTAAAGAGGACTGACTATCCTTTCACCTCATGTTGTACACTAAAAGGCTCACTAAAATGTATTGAGTGTCTTGAAAAAAAAAAGGACCAAAGGAAAGTGAAAGATAAATTTGTGGATATGCAGAGAAACCGAAGTCAATAGAAGAGAAATGCATTCCCTCCTCAGACATCCATTTCTAAAACACTGTTTCTTAGATTGTATCTTTCCATGAAAATGGTTATTTAAGTGATTCCTTATTTTATGATGTATATAAATAGAACATTTTAATAATGATCATAAGTTCAAAATAATATGCACATTTTAAGTAACTTTCCTGAGCCCATATAAAATAGTTCTCCTTTACTAGAACAGCAGAAATGTATTACTTTTCATTATATTAATAACTTGTTTGCAATTTTAACTGTCCTTATTGAGTAAAGAGAAAGAGAAGCAGGTATAAGGCATTCAAGCAACATGACTTATTAATATTACAGAGGCTTAGTATGTTGAATTTGCCAGATAAAATAAATAGGACTTGGTGCTAATCACTATCTGACTTTATTTTATTTTTGAATAGTTATGGAAGCAATTGGTTTTGAGCAGTTTTTTAATGTTTATTTTATTTTTGAGAGACAGAGAGAGAAAGCATGCCAGGGAGGGGAAGAGAGAGACAGGGGGACAGAGGATTCAAAGTGGGCTCCACACTGAGACCAGAGAGCCTGATGTAAGGGCTCCAACTCATGAACCCTGAGATCAGGACCTGAGACAAAGTCAGGAGCTTAACCGACTGAGCCACCAGGAGACCCTGAGCACTTTTTCTTAAGGTGGGAGTTCAGTTGAGAAGGATTCAGAGATTATGTTCATGTTCAGAAAAAAAAAATGATAAAGGATTGATAATGTTTGTGATGTCTTCATAGGCAGAATGTTACTATGAAACACAGGTTGGGCAGACACTCATTATGCTTATTCTTTGCATAAGATTTTCTGAAATCCAGGGGCACTTGGGTAGCTCAGCTGGGTGAGCCATGCTGATCTTGATTTCAGCTCAGGTCATGATCCAAGGGTTGTAGGATTGACCCCACATCAGGCTCTATGATGAGCATGGAGATTGCTTAAGATTCTCTGTCTCTGTCTCTCTCTACCCCTCTCTCCCACTCATTTCCTCTATCTAACTCTCTTTCTCAAAAAAATTTAAAAAATTAAAGAGATTTCCTGAAATCCAGTCTAACATCTTTAAAAGCCTTTGACAGATGCCATCATAACTTATCACACTGCCACAATGGAGCTCCTTTGAAACACATTCAGGATATAGACAATGTCTTATTAAATTCCCACTCATGCCAAGTAACCTAGACACACAATACAACACACACAACACACACACACACACACACACACACACACACACACACACATGTTATATAGTAATCACTCAATAAAATATTTTTTAGATTACTGATTCAGTATTACATTCTGACCTCATGATTTTGTGATGCTTTGCTCTTCTGAATGAAACTCATACCTGTTGTCTCCTGAAACTGTGCAATTTGTTATCCAAAGCCAAGTTCAGGTGATACCTATTTTTTGCAGTCATTACTCTAAAGTCCCTAAATGGACTTGAACTTTTCTTCCTTTCAAAAACTCTATGATACTTTTTATTTCCCACCTTATACAGTGGCCACTTTCTTCCCTGTCTTACTGTCGACACTGGACTGTGCATTCCTTGGAGATGAAGACTATGTTTTATTTTAATTGCTAGTTGTACTTTTGGAGGTATATTTATGTGTTTATTGAGGCCTAGTCTACTTGAGGTATGTTATAACAAAGGGGAATAAAATTAATGTTTACTGAGATTATACAAGGTATTCCACATGATACCTAAATTAAGTTTTAGTCTTCACAATCAGATTAGGAGCTAGTTTATATTACCTCAATTTTTTGGATTAAAAACCAAAGGTCAGAAGGGCTTCGGATTTTTTTTTCCAGTGAGCAAAAGATAACATCAAGGTAAGTCTCTTGGATCAAAATCCACATCCAATCCATTGTACATCAACTCTTCATTATATTTAAATGTATCTTACAATCAACAATTATGAGCCCACTTGATTTACATTTCAAGGACAATATACTGCAATAATATGCTCAAAAAGAAAAGACTTTAGTTATCTTGCTGACTGTATCCTTGACGTCCTTATTTCTCAGACTGTAGATCAAGGGATTCAGCATAGGGATCACCACTGTGTAAAACACAGACGCCACTTTCACTGTGTTCCTCGAGTTTTTGGAGTTAGGAACACAGTAGAGGAAGACAATGGTCCCATAGAAGATGGTGATGGCTGTCAGGTGGGAGGC